GATGGAAAGGCCAAGACAATATCTCGGAGCATGGTCTTTCAAATTGGAGGAGATGCGACAAGACCGACGCGCTTGGAAATCTTTTTTAAGCTCGGCTCATGGAACAACAGTTCTGTAATGAGCCAGCGAGGTAAGTAAGTGGTACCGTTATATGGGGAAGTAGGCAAAAATAATTAATTTTTGTGTCACCCAGTGAAAACTCAACTTACAAAATTATAAGCAATTCGGATTAAAAACATTCCCAAACAACCCAAAATACCGAATAATGGGGAGTATCTTTATATGGCGGCTTTTTTGAAAAGTGGAAACGTAACGGTTATTTTTGGTAGGTAAAGTTGCTACCCAATGTGAAGTTAAAGTACTAGGGACGTAGGCAGAGGGTTGGTCAAAATTAAATTTCTTCAGCGTAAATTTATGTTTGCAACAGCGATTTTTTCATTTTGTTCTAGCGTGCTCAATTTATAATACAAAATTAAAGCGGCGTGTATATGCGGAGCTAACCTCCTCTATGAGGATTTATATGACATATAAGCAATATACAATTGACAATTTAAACCCACTGGATTGTATTAAATCCAGTTTACTGTAAATTGTACTATAAATTCACTCAAAATCTTGATATGCTCGAAAACCTTCGCTAAATTGAGATAATTTAAATACAACCCCGTTTTTCCACCGAATAAAATAATGACTTCTCCCTAAAGTATGCTACAAATTACGTTACAATTCAAATTAGTTGCCTATGCTATAATTTAACACAACGAATGTTTTTATGTATTTTTTACCTAATTGGGAGCTATTTCTATGGAAATATTGATTAAAAATTGTGAAACCAGTGAAATGTTTATGTATACGTATACAAATAGCCTTTAAGATCTTTTAATTTTTCATTATACACTTTCCGAATGAAACTTTTAGAATATTTTGTATCAAATTCTACTTAATGTTTCCTATAAATATACAAACATGCCACCCTATTATCAATTTATGATCAATATTTTTAATTTTTTTGAGTAGTTCCGAATCCTAAATTGTTAATATTTCCAATTAATTTAATTTTTATTCAACAATAACATGTATACAAACTAAATAAAATAAATAAATTGCAGCTGACAAATAATTTTAACTCTAGTCTGAACAGCTAGCATTTGGTTCCTCGATTAAAAAGTTGTGTCGATTTAGAGTCACAGTCTAAACGCGGCTTTAAATCATTTAATTGCCTCGATTTCCTTAAAATCCGATATAAAATCGATATAATTTTAAATACAACCCTGTGTTAATGTAGCTAAAGTGTCAAATTTCTTGTATGTATTAGAACGATATCTATATTTCAATGTGTATTTTGATATCAAATTTTCGTCAATTGTTATGGTTGGTGTCTGTGATAAACATTTAAGAACAAAATTTTAGATTTTTAAATTTGTAACGACATACTTGCAAAGACATAAAACAAAGACATAAAAGTATAAAGATAGGACATTTCATAGTCACGAATAAAATATAGATGTCGGTGGGGTATAACATTATGTTATGTCACGATATGGTGACATAACATAATGTTAATTTTTGAGTGAAATAATTTTTAAATTCTCTGAAATGCACTGGAAATTTGACAAACAGGAACTTTTGAGAAGACAAATATGACAAATATTCTCACTCAGTTGAGCATTTTTTTCCAAAAAAAAAATATATTTATGAAGCAAATTTTCTAAATATTTACAATTTTAAAAAAGTACAATCGGAAAAAAGGGTGAATAAAAATGAGAACTGAATGAGCTGCAGTAATGATAAGACTAAACCGCTGTTTGATATTCCTTTGGGCATTTCTAGGTGCATATCGTCCAATGAATAATCTCTCATCAAATATATACATGCTGCTACCATTGCTGATAAAATGAAAAAATATACCTTTGGAGTGGTTATTATAATGCTGGATAATGACAATGACCAATATGCTAGATTAAAAGTGATGTCTAAAATCAAATTTAGTTGTGTTTATTTTCTTATCCAGACGGATGTTAGGTACTAATATTAAGATATGAAATATATATTACCCATTTCTTTATAAAAATATTGACCGATATATACTCCACTCTCCATGTTCGTTGTTTGGAACAAATCGAATATTTCCTTCGAGAGTAGATATTGGGTCTGTTTCAGTTTTTCGACTTTTATACCCTCCAATGTATATTAACATTGTCATTTCGTTTGCAATTCCTCGAAATAACCTGGCTATAATTTGGCGTTTTGGGTTCCTAATGTATAGCGAACTTCCATAAAAACGATTAATATAGATCCAAGTTCAGGGTATTTTTGACATGTTTTTAATCGGAATTTGCTGTAATTTCATTTTCTCCTGAAAGATAATGGTGGAGGATATATAAAGTTCGCCCCGGTCGAACTTAACCACTTTTTAAAACTTTTTATACCCTCCATCATAGTATGGAGGGTATATTAATTGAGATAGATCGCCAAAATTTTGCATACCTGCAGGCAGGTCAATTTCGAAGATGGGCTATATCGGTCCAGATATAGGCATTGCTCCCATATAATTTTAGGTTCTTGAGTGTGTTTTTCAACTGAATTCGCTGTAATTTGGTTCACTGGGTTCTTATTAGATACCAAATTTCCCCAATTATAAATATAGGTGCACTTTTTTGGTAGCTCTTATAAAACGGTACCCCCAATTTTCAGTACTTTGGGGTTTTGAGCGTATTTTTCGACTGAGTTGGCTGTAATTTAGTGCTTTGAGTTCTTATTGGGTAGCAAATCTCTCAAAAAAAAAATGTTATGAATATAGGTAATTTTTTTTGGGTAGCCCCCATATAAGCGTACCCTCCAATTTTCGGTATTTTAATTCTTGAACGCGTTTTTTAACCGAATTCGCTGTAATTTGGTATTTTGTTGTCGTATATGGTAACAAATCTCCCTACCATTATTAATATTGGCCCCCTTTTAGGGGTAGTCCCCACGTAACCCCCTTTTTATATTAAAATAGTTATCCGGTGGGGACATTCGTTACTCGAAATTATCTGTTTTTACCCTAAAAAATATGAACTTCTAAGACTATTTTGTAATCAATCCGTCTTCTAAGGACATCGTGATAAAAAAAACTCCAACCTGACGATGATGAAATACAACGGCCAGCATTTAGGCATCTCCCCCATATAATGATACCTCCTGAAGGAAAGTATTGAGATAATTAGGCATATCCCCTCATATAATCATAACTCCCAATATTCGCTAATTCCTAGCTTTGTAATCAATATTGGTCTCCCTTTAGACAAAGCCTCATATAAGTTTGCACTCTAAATTGCAGTTTTTTGAGGATTTTATTCACATGTTCCACTCGCTTTTTTCACTTGCTTCTTTATTATATTGAAAAGTTTTACAAGTATATACCTACGGGACGGGCGGATTTTTACCATTGCGCGCGATTTGGAGGTATCGCCGTTTCTAGGATCTAATCGTCCGTTTGAGCAGTATTTGATAAACCATTTTTGAAAAAACGCCGTTAAAGTAAAAATAATTGCGCAACTCAATTTTAAATGCTGATTTACTTAAATGTTTGAACCTTTTAATTTGAAATGCCACTAAATATGTTAGTTTTAATCAAAAACTAATTAAAAACAAATTTCCCCAAAAAAGCTTTTCATTTTTGAAAAAATGGCAAGCATGTTGCATATGAGAGAGCTTTAAAAATCTGGGGGGTTACTCTGTATTGCGTTGCGAAAGCAAGTGCGATGCGAAAGCTAAATGCGTTAAGAGTACAATTTGGTACGTAACATCACGCAAACGCATTCGCAAACTAAATCAAAAATAGGGCAACACTGTCGCCACAAAGTAAACAGTAACGAAGAATGACAAAAGGAAACGTCAAAAAATTTTAAATGAAAACATTTTTTTGTGTGGTACGAGTGTTTTTTTAAACAAAAATGATGAACGAATTAAAAACAAAAACAGAAATTTATGAGATCGATCAAATATACTCTCCCTAAGTGACCACGGGTATTAAAATAGAAGTACGAATTATGTGACAAACATTTTCAAATATTTAATTTTTATAGATTTATACAAAATGTTCGTCTCAATAAAGATTCGTTTATGTATTTATTAAACGCTCGTCTTTCCAAATAGATCCACAACAATTCCAATCCCAATAAAAGAGGCCGCTGCTTTGAAATTGCTTGGACAAGGTGGTTATCAACACCAACCTGTAAATATGCACACATAGTTTCACATTTATATATATAAAAAATATAATACATTACTTTTTCCAACCACCGACATCTTTTACAGGAGGTCAATTTGAATTGAGGTCATCAGACAGTTTTGTCCACAAATTGTTGGCGCGTTGTTTCGCATTTGAACTCTGCAACTGTCCCTTTGCCAAATCACTGTGTTGCCCCATCAAATCTACTTAAGTTAGGAACTGACGTTGCTGAGTCTGCAACTGTGACTTTTTTGCCTTTTACTTAAAATAATTTACAATTTATATAAAAATAAAAAAATTAATTGAGCTTACTTATATGTTTCGCTTCCTTTGCGTTTGCTATTTTGTTAACGCAAGATATTTGCGCTTAACGAACGAGTTTGACATGCGTTTTCGTATTATAGAGTGCGGTGATGCCACATTTGCGTAAACTAGATGCGAAACATTTTATTGGAAAATGCATTTTGCGGCATAGTCTTTACTATTTCAGGTCTTTGTCAAATATTTATTAAAAATTAAAAAGGCCTATATTTTTCTTGTCATAAAAAATGTTGTTTATATATTTCGGTCAGAAAAAATAACATTTAACAATTATCAAAATGTTATATTATTGTGTCATATATGTATGTATTTACACGAGCAATTTCACTAAGAAAACGACAAACAAAAATCAAACAAACAAAAAAAGAAAACTAATAATCTCTTGCAATTCAATTCAAAATCCTTCCTGTTTTTGGTTTGACCAATTTTGGCTTTTGTAATAACCAAATTACAATTGTTGTTGTTTTTTTAATTGTTATGTCCAATTAAATAAATAATACTTTGTATAATTTTACGACCATTTTCATGATGCAATAAATTCAAACATGGATCACGAATTTTCTCTTCCAACAATTTCAGTAGTTCCAAACGTAAACATTGTATCATTTCGGCAGTCTCATGATTGTGAGCTTTGATTATTATCCAACCATCTTCGAGTAGGAAGAGGAAATCACCGTCATGAAGTTCAACTTTTAAATCAGAACCGGCAAAGAGAACCAGAGGCACCAACGGCAACATACTACATTCTCGAATGAAAATTCTTGAGGTTTTGACTTTTTCCTGATACACCAAGAAGGGAGATTGAAATGTGCCCGTGTCTGAATTTACCGATGATGGATGTATGGCCACATAACCATCTTCACGTGTTTTAAAGCGTAAATCTTTGGCTGTGGCCAATTTTGGCATTGCTCCACCGGCTGTTTGTATGTAGCTACGTTCGGGTGTGAGGATTTTTACAATGTTTGGATAGAGGGAGGCACACAACAAAGAGATAAGTAGACGATTATTGTCACCATTTATGTTTAGTTCATTGCCTGTAGAGAAAAGCAGAATTTAATGTCTCTTCGAAAGATAATTTAAAATTTGTTTTTTTACCCGTTAATTCCAAAATTGTGTCCTGAGCATTTTTACGTTTCCTGGGTACATTAATGGGTACAAAACCTATCGATACAAGTAATTCCAAAAATTGATATTTGACTTCGGAAATTGTTTGCAAAGTTTTCAGAGATAGAAAATGTTCCTCGGCATAGTTGCGGCTGGCGAAAAAGTTGCGCTTGGATACCTCTAACCATTTCTAAAAAGAGAAATACAAATTAAAGGAGTTGTTTTTTTAATTATCAAACAGATTTTACCTTGTAGGCCAGCAAACATGTCAAATGATCACTATTGCATAAAGCAAATTCACGTTTGCGTCGCTCCGCTTCAGCCCGTTTATTGAAGGGACTAACAAATGGTGATTTGTGTGACAAGCAGGCAGCAATGGTCAGCACACTATCCAAACACTGGAAGATGGTACCGAACAACATTAGTTTACCTATCCGTACATCGACCGGCAATGCTGAAAGATGATGACCCAATGGTGTTAATTGTTGTTCCTCATCCAGGGCACCAACATCCTGCAGACGTGTCACAGCCCCAATAATATTCTCTTCGGTGGGTGGTTCTAAGGTTTCACCTAAAACTTCCACAACATTTAGACCCTGGAAATTGGGTAGGGTTTTTATACGCAACACCAATTGCTCCAGCGGAACACGATGTATTTCGGGTATGGGTTGAGCCAAGAAATTATATTTGAAACGATGTTGGGTGTACAAGTGTATACAAACACCAGGCATGACACGACCAGCACGACCCTTACGTTGATTGGCATTCGCCCGAGAAACATATACCAATTCCAATGATTCCATGTTACGATTCGAATCGAAACGTTTCTCCTTCATGAGACCATAGTCGATGACGAAAACACAATCATCTATGGTGACAGAGGTTTCAGCAATATTTGTACTCAACACAATTTTTCGTTTTCCCTTGGGTGCGGGTCGGAAGACAGCAGCTTGTTCTTCACTCGATAGGGTTGAGTGTAAAGGCACTAAAATGTATTTGCCCGATCTGCAAAAATTTAAATGTTTAAATTTTTATTTTGAATGTGTTAAAACTGCCTCCTACCTTGGTCCAAACATATTACTATCACAGAGGGCATCATGCACAGCCTGAATTTCTTGTAGACCCGGCAAAAATATCAATATTGTACCCTCCCGGGGCCATTCATGTTCACCCTCCACAATATACTTTAGCACAGACTCAATTAATTCCGGATTGACTTTCATTGGCTCCATAAGATAAATCGATTTACATGTCTTCTTGGAATAATCCGCATAACGTGAATACATTGCCGACAAATTCAATTTCTCATCCTTGAGCTTGGTTGGTGGTGCCACATTTTCCGCCTTAATATCGGCATATTCCAATTCTCGCATCAACTCCTCCTCTTCCTTTTTGCTAACCTTACGACTATACTGAGAATCACATTCCATTACATAATCACAACGTTCCAGTATATCTTCAAGGAACAATTGTTCCACGGGGAAAGTTCTACCAGGGATATCTAGAATGGGTACACCATTGAAATAGTCCGAAAATAGTTTAGCATTCAGGGTGGCTGACATCAGGATGACCTTTAGATCGGGTCGTAGAGGTAATATACGTTTAACAATCATCAGCAAAAAGTCAGACTCTTCACTACGTTCATGGACTTCATCGACAATAATGTGAGTAACTGACTCCAGCAAAGGTTCAGATGCCAAACGCCTCAACAAAATACCGGTGGTGCAAAATGTCAAACGTGTAGCTGAGGATATTTTATTTTCCAAACGAATTTGATAACCCACAGTTTGTCCTATTCTTTCGGCTCGTTCGTCGGCCACACGTTCCGCCACACCAATCGCCGAAAGCCTTCTCGGCTGGGTACACACCACTTCAACATGAGGCATTTTTTGTGAATTATCCAACTGGGAAGCCTTAAAAAACCAATTGTCCAATATGAATTGTGGAACCTGTGTCGATTTACCACATCCCGTTTCTCCGGAAATAACCAAAATCTGTGAAGTCTCCAGTAAATTTAAAATATCCATCATTTTACTAAAGGCTGGCAGATTTTGTCGTGTTTTCATCATTTTTTGATACTTCTCATCGCGTCGCCGCTCCATAAAACGTTTCAACAAAAGCCGATCTTCTTTTTCCATTGCCTCAGGATCTTTACGAAAACCATCACCGTGTGAGGTTAAGCCTTTCTCATAGTGAGTGGGCAGATTTTCAAATTTCTTTACGATATTTTCTTTTTCCAATGGATCTTCCACATAGAACAGTGATTTATCAGCCCTCGGGAAGGCCTCTTGATCCAGATCAATATTTTCCGAAAAACTTTCCATTTGCAGTAGCTCCGAAATACTGTAGACACATGGTATGCCATCACGACATGACTCTTGAGCTTCGCGATAAAGTTTTCTCGCCAATTTCAGCCTTATTTCGTTGGGTATGTCATGACAGGTGGTCTTCACGTATATGTAAGGAGCCTCGTAGGGATATTTGGTGTGTGGAGGAAAACGTATTTCCAAATAGAACCATTTTTCATCTGACTCATCGGTTTTCTCTTTGCTCGCACTTTTTTCGGGTATCACCGGTTCGGGGCGGATATGGGCAAAACGACATTTCGGACCAAATCTACAGGTGCCCTTTTCATCAAAGTTGCGACACCTCTGGGGTTCTCTCGGTTTCTTTACATGTTTTTGATTTGTGTTCTGTTTGGCAGCAGCTGCATCTCGTGCCTTGCGCACCTCAGAGGGACTGTGCTGCAGCAGATGTTCAATTTTGAATTTTAAATTCCACACTGCATTCTTTTCCTTCTCTTCGAATATTTTATCATAAATTGATTCTAAAGCCTCTTTTTCATCAAATCGCATATCAAGTAATTCCTTTTCGGTAAATTCCACCGTTAACTCCTCTTGATCATCGGGAATTCTCATATATTTACGGAACAATAGATTCAAGGTTTCGTCGATGTTTCCATTACAGTGGTCATATGCCTCAAGGCAATGGCTGGAGGCAAAACCGTAATTCTCCAATTTTAATAAAGCGTAGCGGCGTAACCTCTGCTCTGGACTTTCGGGATTTTTTTCGCCATCTTTACCACCCAGTGTGCCGTTGTTTGAGGAGAAATTTGTAACTGACTGGACGACAAGGGTGCCACGATCTTCCCAATATGATTTTTTCATTCTACCACCACGATCTTTGTACTTTGAGGGATCATCTAAACGGAAATCGTCGCCATGTATCGATCTCAATGTTTCCATGCACATTTTTTGCGATTCATCGCTCAGGCGTAGGACTTGCATTTCCGTTTTAAGTGTTACCTTAGAGGCAGGCACTTCGGCAGGTCGGTTCCTACACGAAAAAGATAAAATATTAGAAAGTGTTTTTTTTTTGTAATTATTGTAATTTCCTTACGTTGAACGAACATCCTGTTGAATTGGACGCAAAAAGCAGTCGTCTATTAAACGCTGAGAACCCTCATCCATGGTGTTTCAACAAAGGTTAATCGGAACTTATTTTAAAATAATTTTAATTGGATGGCTTTAGGAACAGTTCTCTTTCTACCAAATGAACGTACAATAGAAGCATTCGTTGACTCTGCAAAAAAAAAAATTATAGTTTTACTAAATCTTATGAAATTGCAAAAAAGCTCTTTGTTATAGCAGCAGCTGCATGTATGGCCACATCACCATACATTTCACTTACCCTCCTTGTCTTTGTATCGATTTGATTTGGCTTCCTCTTCTGGTAATGGTGTGAAATTAATAAAAAAATTCACAGATTTTTAGATTTTTCTAAATTATTTAATCCAAATCAATACGATTCATCACCATCTCAGCTTGCGACATCCACATGCTACGAATGAAGGGAGCTACGAAAGAATGGTTGATAAAGAGCGACCTCAAAACAAAATCACCAACAGACTACTGTGTTTACGAATGAATGGGAGGCATAACGGCCGCTTTTGTTGTTTAGAAAGAGACATGAAAGATGTTAAAAATCAGCAGATTCATTCACCAGAGGATGTTAACATAGTGTATGTAAAAAGCCATCTGTTGAATATAAACAGCTGATTTTATTATTCACAGCCCATCTGTGCTTAGCATTTGTCACAATAGCATGTAAAACGAGTAATAACGGTTTTCAATTTTAAATTTAAGGTTAAACATAGATATTTTTTGCGCACTTTTAAACCAAGGTCTATTAATAAGTTCATCCAGGGAGACTAGCTGGATATCAGCTGCCTCTCAAGATTGCTGTTAAAAACCATTATTGTGAATTGACTTTCATTATGAAAACGTAAACAAAGTATACATTTTTGACGTTAGACAGCTGAATTTTTCATGACAATTAACGGGATTTTAACCGGTTCAGAAGAAATATAAACGTGTATATTTCAGAATATAGCAAAGATATATATTAGGAATTGTAGAATATGCAGGGAAAGTCATTTTCACAAATCCCTATGCATATTTTTCCCTACATCAAATAAAAACAAGTGTTCAGCGTAAAAAATCTAAATTTGTTTAATATTGTTTAATATTCTGAAGCATGAAATAATTACAGAAGGTAGTCTCATTTGAGAAATTAATAATGGCAACCCTTTTTAAATTGGAACTCAGGGTCGTACCTAAATTTAAAAGTTAAATACACCTAAGTCTGTTTTTACATGGTCTTTTTGTACACGGTTTTGATATAACACCGTTTGAAAATTGAATATTTTTAATTTTTTTAGGCGATTTTATTCCATTTAGCACGATTTAAAATTTTATGTACTTAAATTTTTTTGTCAAATTTAATTTTTGCGAAGTATGTTCATATCACAAAAAAAGTATTTATGAAAGAAGAAAGTCTAGCTAGAAAGAAGAAAGTCTAGAAACACTAGCTTAAAGATTTAAGTGAATTCCCCTTTAGCGCGTACAAACAATTTTTTCTGGTCAAAGCAAAAGTGAATAGCACTAATTTAGGGGAATTCCCTTTATGTATAAGATCAATGTCTTTTTTTACACGGCTTCTTCTCGAACCAATCTACCGTGTAAAAACAGATTTAGGTGTACATGTGTTTCAATGAATGTTACACAAATACAAATTGCGTATCAAAATAAAAAGATGAAAATTTTCAACATTGACTATGCGTATGTTGGATTTTTTGTTTTTTGAAAATAGAATTTCAGTCATTGAAAAAATTGTGTTTCTATGAAAGTAAACATTTTTTGATCAATTAAAAAAACCTTTTCATCTATTTTCGCCGTTTTCAATTGGCACAGATGCAAATAAAGTCTTTGCGTATTTGGGTAATACGGACGTCTATAAAATCCTATAAGGGCGTGAAGGTGAGTATTTTTGTACGGAGCGCAATAAATTAGGTACGACCTTTACATACAACCATGGTATAATAAAAGAAGGTAACAGCAAATGTTGTTGTACAAAAAACGATACAACAACCACATGGAAATTTGTTGTTGTAAGTTCTACTAGTGTCAACACATTTGACAGAAAAATGTAAACAAACAAATTATTTTTATTTTGAAAATGAAATATTTTCGAATCCTTAAAATAAAAATTGAAAAACATGAATGAAAATCTATCAAATTTATATTTCTATCGCTTCCACATCTTTCCTATAATTGAGCCATTGCCACTTATATGTGCAACACATATAAAAATGCAGGGAATTGCGAGTTATTCCATGAAGAAAGATTTGCTCCCCCAAACTTTCCCAGCAGGCAGATTGAGTAAATTGAATACGGGACCACATTTAATTCCTGTTTTGTGATTTTTCCTGTTGGGTGATTTTTAAAAGCATAATTTGTCAAATTCATATTGACACTAGTATTACATTGGAATCAAATCAGCTGGGATTTGCTGTTACCTTTTATAATTGTACCATGACATACAACAAAAAATTCATTTATTTATTGCGTCATTTATTTCCTAAAATAAGTCTGCTTTTCCACAGGCAAATTTTTATTTGGCAAATACTGAGTTTGTAGGCGAGAGGGGTGCGAGGAAGAAAAACAAAAATTTGCCTGTTCAGAATTTGCCGTATACGCAAATTCTGCTTTGCTCTGTTCGTTGAAAACAATTTTGTTGACATTTCCTTTTGAACCTATTCGCTTTACTGACACACAGCCGGCTTTTTTTTACAAACCCGTTGCTTTAATTTGTGCAAGTGAAATTTAATTTTTAATTTTTGCAATTTATATAATAATATATATAAAAAATAAATAAAATATTAAAAAAAAATTTTTAAAATGCAAACACTTTTGACTTTTATTTTCTTTCTTTTGTATTTTGATTCGCAAATTTGGCAAAGAAAAATTTGCTAATGGAAAAGCAAGCGAAAATTTCAAAAGAGAAAACAAAAAATTTGCCAAATAAAAATCTGCCTGTGGAAAAGCAGACTAATTATTAATGCCATGTTCTGACGGGCATTCGAACAACGTAGTTCGCTCTCAGAGTTACGTACATGAATTATCCCGTTCATACAACACTATTCTTAATTCATGTCATTAGAGTTTTTTTTATTTCAAACCTTTTGTTTCTGGTTTTACACCAAAATGTTAACATATTTGCGTGAATCACATATGGATCTAAATAGAAAAAATAATTCTCTTTCTCCTGACTATGGTATGAACCTATATCTATTTACTTTTAATTCATGTTTTCAATTTTTTCTGAAAATATTGTTGCTATAAATAAATTTTTATATTTTCTCAATTCAAATGTCACATAAAAAAATTGGAGAAATTTTGTTTGGGTTTCCCCACATTTGTTTCTCGTTTTGTACGCTAATTAGAACAAAAGGGAAAGAAATGCATATTGCATTATGTAGATTACAAAATTTTCATCCTACTGCATATATAAAAACTACACAATTTGTTACTTTTCATTCATCATTTTCAATTTTACTGAAAAAGTTTGTAAATTTCATAAAAAATTTCAAACTGTCAAAATTAAATTATTTTCGATAAATACTCTCAATTGTTAGGGATGGGACAAAATTCTTGGTTATTCAGAAAGTGATTCGAATTGAACAATGTACAAAAGTCGGTGTTCGCTCAGAAAATTTTATATGGGGAACTAAGTAATTACTTCATAATTAGTTGTCGAACAACGAATGAGAGAGCGAACAACGTTCGTCTGTACATGGCATAATAATATATTATGAATATTCCAAAAAAAAAAAAACGAAATCTTATAAAAGTTTTTTTTTTCCAATTTTCCAACAATATAGTTTGCCAATAAAGGTAGATACATGGCACAATTATAAAAGGTAATAGTAAATCTCAGCTGATTTGATTCCAACGTAATACTAGTGTCAACATGCATTAAAAAATTATGTTTTTAAAAATCACCCAACAGGAAAATTGGGAACGCATACAATTTTAAATTGTTCCTTATTAAATGTGCTCCCGTATTCAATTTTCTCAATCTGCCTACTGGAAAAGTTTGAGGAAGCAAATCTTTCTTCTTGGAATAACTTGCAATTCCCTGCATTTTCATATGTGTTACACATATAAGTGGCAATGGCTCAATTTTAGGAAAGATGTGGAAGCGATAGAAATATAAATTTGATAGATTTACATTCATGTTTTTCAAATTTAATTTTGAGGATTAGAAAATATTTTATATTCAAAATAAATATAATTTATTGGTTTACATTTTTCTGTCAAATGACGTTGACACTAGTATAACTTACAAGAACAAATTGATTGTTGTAACGTCAATTAAATTGTCAATTAAATTCTCATGAAGTAGGTCAAATAAATCCTCATAAAGTAGGTTAACCCAGTAAAAAGTGCGAATGTAAATGCCGTTTAACACGATTTTAAGATGATTTGTTTACGCATACATACACATTTTACTGGTTTCATAATTTTTGTGACGATTTTTCAATCAATATTTTACAATTTCGATAGGAATTGCTTCCCTTTGGGTAAAAAAGGCATAAACATTTTTCTTGTTTAATATATAGTAAAATTCGCTATAAATTCAAAAAATATCAATCTTTCATTAGCTGTCAAATTTTTGTTAGGCAACTATTTTGAAAAAAAAAAACAATTTTTTGTACCATACATTAAGGATAAGTTAATTTTTGGACAAAAGTAGGGTTGTATTTGAAATTATCTCGATCTTGCATAAAATTTTTAACAGTTCTAGTATTCGGTGGATTTAATTTGCATGGCATATCGAGTTAAATTGAGCTCGATTTAGCGATTAAATCGAGATAATGCCTTTACCTGATTTATGATTACCTATTGACACCTTTAGAATATAACCTTTAAAGTATGTTTAGACTACTAAATCCACTCGATTTCAAATGTCAATTCCATTGTGTATACGTCACCTTAATCATGTTCACAAATCCAGTGGATTCTATTCGACGCATACGCTATGGAATTGTTTGAGATCGAGTGGATTTCGTAAATATAAACGCGCTTTTAGAACTCATTTATTACTACTAAATCCACCAGATACCTATTCACAAATACAGTGGATTACATTTGACGTATACGCTATGGAATCGAGTGAATTTCGTAAATCTAAACGTATATTAAACGGCATTTACATTAGAATTGTTCACCGGTTTACCCTACTTTATGAGGATTTATTTGACATAAACCCACTGGGCCAACGAAATCCTGTACAATGTAAACGTGCTATAAGATTTTAAATCGACACGATCATGGCACAATGAATAGGTAGTCCATTTAGCGCAGCTGATGTCTCGATTAACTGTCAAAGTGGGTAATTTCTACTTAAATTCGTCGTGCAGTGTTGCCAACCATTTGAAATATTATATGGAAAAATTTTACAGATAATCGAGACAAAAACAAAGGTTGTTGTTGTGATACATCACCTTATTATTGCATCATGGACACGATTAACGAAATTTTTCTTTTCATTTTCAAATTGCAAACAAATATTTTTGGCGCAAATTAATAATTTTGTATGTATACTAACAAATACACCGTTATTGTTTAATAACGATCTAAATGCCAATCATCTGATATTTGTTAGTATACATACAAAATTATTAATTTGCGCCAAAAATATATTGTTTGCAATTTGAAAATTAAAAGAAAAATTACAACAATGGAAATGTTGTTGCAATGCTGTGATGGTTTGAAAAGTAAAAAAAAATCACATAAAAACAAAAGAATTCTATAAATAAGAGTTGTATTTTTTCGTAGAAAAACGGCGTTGCATTTCAATAGTATCATCATTTAGTTCACGATTAAAAAAAAACCCTGTTGCACGATGATTTAAAATTGTTTGTTAAGAGCGATTTAAAACGTCAATTTCATAGTGTATATGTCAAGTTAATCTTGTTCATGGAAATCGAGCGAATTTCGTAACTCTAAATCATCGTACATTTAGCCTGATTAAGAAAATAAACCCTGATTCAGTCTTAAATCAAGATAAAATGTTATATGTAAACCCACTTTTACCAAATTTTTGTAAAAAACGCAAATTAATTTTTTTTTAATTTCTTTAAATAATTTTATTTAGCTTTATTAAAAATTTGTTCATGTCTGCTCGTTTTTTTTGTTTGATTTCATTACAATAAATACTAAAAAGCTTCTACTTACAATAATTTATATAGTTTTTGTGCATACTATTTCTTAAATAACTAATGACTTAAATAACTACTACAAAGAACAAAAATTGTCTTTTTTCTAAACAAATATTTGGCAATATTTTGGAAATATTAAATATTAAAAATACAACAATGGTATAATGGTATATTTAGTGACTTTTGTGTAGTCTAGATATTGAATACGTTTACAATTGCAACTCTGCGTGATTTACTGCAAGCTTTAAATTCAAAATATAAACGATGCTGTAAATAATGTAAACTTTAAGGGAGAAGGAATGTTGTTGAAACACATAGCTTATTGATTTCGAATCGAATAACTACATAATTTCTAAATTTTCGAAGTAAAATGAAATAAAAAGAAAAAATAGACATATTTTATATAATATGAACATTTCGACTTATTTATCGGTTTTCTGAGAGCTAAAACCATCTGGCATACTAGATTTACGTTGAGCTTGTGATATTTGCACAATACGTGACAATGGGGAATGTGTACTGGTATTGGATGGACGAGCTGGCAGCAATCGAGCTGTGCTACTGGCCGCTGATGACAATGGATTTGTTGTAGTTGTGCCATCGGGAGAAGTTGTGGTTATTGTTGGCTGGGCTAATGGCGATGGCCTTAGTGATAAGCGTCTTTGGAGAACTGTTTGTGAGCCAGGACCCAAGGGATTTAGACTGCCACTTGATGTTGATGGACCCGATGGTATTTGCGATACCACCGTGTTGATATTAACACCGGGTGGAGGCGCCATACCCGGTGGTATTTGCAATGCTGTTGGTCTGACACTAAAACGACGTTTGAATTTCGTTTGTGTCGCGGGAGTGCTCGTCACCGACGATTGGTTATCGCGTTCGCTGTAACTTGGTGGTGGGTCTTTTATCTGAACAGTCGATAACTTTCGCCTGGTTAATATGTTACTGGAATTACTTGGCGTAATAGATGTTTGATTGAGCTGATGTGATGTCTGCGGTAGGGTACCAACAATTGTTGATCTACGAGCATACAGACGATTAGCAGCTGCTGCATTCATAGCCTTGGAATCGGTGCCAAACAATGACAATATCGGTGGTAATGGTGAGTCATCCAGACCGCCAGAACCACCCTTGCGTTTCTTATCCGAACGGAACAAATTGGAGCTGCCCGATTTATTGGCAAGAGCGGATGCTTCAACTTGCTCGTCCAAAACGGCCTGGGTGTGAACAACTTCTAGTGCCCGAATCAAATCAGCCAATGTAGTATTTTCCAAAATGTCCACATCTTCTTGGGAGGCCGTGGAAAATAGACTTGATCGTCGATTGGCGTTGGGCGCCATAGGGAATAGACTGCCACGCCTGGCTGGCGGATTAATGCCAGCGGTGGAGAGAACACTTCCCCTTCTTTCGGGATTGAAGACACTGGCTCGCCTTTGTGAAATTGCCGCTGCTGCACTGGTCGGTGGAAACATGCTTGCTCGGCGATTGGATAATGCAGCGTTTTGGGCAAAGGCCGATACCTTACGTTTGCGATCTCCCAGAGGATTTCTTTGGTATGATGTATTAGTGGTTACGGTGTTGCTGTTATTCATTTCAGTAAGTTGGCTCAATTCTGGTCTTGGATTTTCCCTAATATTATTCAAACCCAAAACTGAGAGACGTGTGTTAAGACTGCCATTTGATGTTTGCAAGGGTTTTCCATTATGGAAATAGGTAGGACTGGCATTGGCGGTTACTGTACTATAATAATCCAGAGGTGGAACATCGTGGGGAATGCCCTCCGGAACACTTGCAACAGAGAATTTACGTTTGTCACCCTTCTCACCATCCACGTTCCAATCAGCTTGTGATGGCCGTTTCTTAAATGGAAATAGCCTGCGAAAACCATCAGGAATGGAGAATTTCTTAGTTCTTCCGCCGGCCGTCTGAGGTTTCTTATTCAATTCTTCTTCATCTACATTAACCACATGATCGAGTGTGGGTAGACCCAAACTGCTGCGATAAATATTCTCACGATCGCGATCCATTTGGCGACAACGACTGTTAATAGCCTCTTGAATTTGATCGTTATCACCACTCCACGTCCATTCCTGGTGAGCAGGCATTGTGGAACGTCTGCCACCCTTCCATTTGGGATCCAAATTGAAATCGGAACAGGCTCTACCTCTGGGCTTGGGTATTTCATTGGTGCCGGGGAATGACCATTCACTGGCCAATATTTGTGAATCGGAGAAACCATGATAACCACCATACATACTGGCCGCTCCCACAGTGGTATCTTCATCTTGTGGTGGTGCCTGCACAGTAGCCAAGGCCGTAACCACTTTCGCCAACAGACCGGTAGTTTGACGGAAAGCTTCAGCCGTTTCGAATGATTTCTGGCGATCGATTCTATTCAATTCCGTATCCGAGGAAGCATGTACTGTAAATGGAGTGCCTTCCACACGAGCCTCCACAGCATCATAACATTCAGAGAAGGCACGTTTACGACTGGGTATTGGAATGGGATCAACTCTGTACATTGTTAGTTCAGGGCAAGATAAGGAACGATGTAGAGAGTAATCATACTCAGCAGGTTCTGTATAGACGGGCTGAGGAATAAAAAAAAGAGAGAAGAGATTATTTTGAGATTGCTAGTTTAGGACGGGGGAAAGATTGTGAGTTAAGATTGCATATTCTTCGATAGTCTGTGGAGAACCTACTTAAAACGTCATTTACATTAGACCTTTTTTTAGGGTTAACCTCCTCTATGAGAATTTATTTGATATATATGTAATAGAATTGACAATTTAGGTCTACTGGATTTAATAAATCCGCTAAAATGTAAACGTCTTCTAACCTGTGCTATTAAAACACTTGTGATGTAGATATAGCTGCATTAAATCATATGTACTTCAGAACTTTATAGCATATTTACATTGTATTGGATTTCGTTAATCCAGTGGGTTTAAATTGTCATTGTTTAAATGTCAAATAAATCCTCATATAGTACGTTAACCCAGTAAAAATGTCTAAAGTACTTGATAATATTTGACAATTTAAATCCACTAGGTTCTTAAAACCAATGCAATGTAAATGTGCTTTAATTCACTCTAAATCATTTTATTTTCAAATTCCTAAAACTAACCCCTAAGTTTATACCGTTTTTATAATCCGTTTACATTTATACATTTATATATTGGAATCTATGTTGAGTTTTTTTGACATATACATTGTGACATATATCTGGTCAAACGTGTAACTTTTCAGTCAGCTGGTCCTTAAATTAAAACTTTATTTCTGGACGTATTTATATCAAATAAATATTTATTACAATAGTTTACCAGCTGATTCGAAAAGTAAAGCTCTATCAAGGCCTATTAATAAGGTCATCCAGGGAGATCAGCTGGATATCAGCTGCCTCTCAAGTTTGCTGTCAAAATTCATTATTGTGAATTGACTTCCACTTTAAAAATGTAAAGAAAGACAATTTTTTGATACTAGACTTGGGAAACAGCTGACAAAATTTTTTCAAGGACTAAAACGTCATTTACATTAGAAATTTTTGCATGGTTAATCTCCTCTATGAGGATTTATTTGACATATATGTAATGAAATTGACAGTTTAGATCTACTGGAGTAAATAAATCCAGTTTAGATCTACTGGAGTAAATAAATCCACTGTAAATCTAATATAATATTTAGTCAGCTGATCTTTGAATTTAAACTGTGTTGCTCTTCAGAATCTGATACTTTTTTAAAACATGTTTAGACCTAATGTGTTAAAGAGCGTGTTTTTCAGCTTTAATAACATACTTACTTCACAGAATGCTCCTTCAATGAGATTGCTATTAATAAAACTAAGAGCAATTGAAGAAAACATGTTAATCATTTACGATATTATTACTTTTCGCCCGAAATAAAGAGAAATAATACTCAAAATCATAAATACATGATCCCAAAAAAAGAATAAAAACAGAATTAACCAAAACGTGTCCCAAAATATAAAACCAAGTGCATTTATAATTAACAAGTGCAACAAAATAAGTTAAACCCACGAGTGCAATCATTCAAATTACAAAAATTATAATACGAATATTCAAATTGAAATACAGTATAGATATTATTAATAACCCAATACGTGGTTTAATAATTACCTTAAATTTCAATATATACAATTCATTGAGTATCCTTCTCAAATAGCCCACATCTTTGGTAACACCACTCCAAATACGATGTTGAGTGGCTTTAATATTCGATGATAGTTGTTGTTCCAAACGTGCTAGTTTCTTACTTTGTAAGCCTCTGAAAAGAAAATTAAGAAAAAATTGTATATGTATTTTTTTTTGGAAATTGCCATAAGAAATTTGTTGTCGTTGTTGCAATAAAATACAATTTTGTAGGCCAAAAATATTGAGATTTTAATTAATATTATTGTTATTAGATTAGTTCCAATGTGCATTCATATTAGGTGTTCTTTGGTAAGGTATAGATTAATAATATTTAGCCCCAAAACATTTATTTTGCTTTAAATGTGACGTATAATTGTGCTTTGTTTAAACTAGGTTTAATACAAATCTCCAATGACAACACTGTGATTTTTTATTAATATTTGTCAAGATCTATTAAAAAGGTCACCCAACCAGCGAAAGTCAGCTGTTTTTTTCATGTCAAATGTCAAAAATTTGAACTTTGTTTACGTTTTCATATGGGAGGCCAATTCACACAAATGAATTTTGACAGCAAACTTGAGAAGCAGCTGATATAAATACAAATACATAGAAAAATATCTTGTTATAAATCAGGGTAACAAATACTAGTTGTTTAAGAGCACATTTAGACTACTGAATCCACTCGACCTCAAATGTCAATTTCATACCGTATACGTCGCCTTGGATGGAGTGGATTTCGTAATTCTAAAGGCGCCTTAAATTAGTAATAAAATGATATACATTTGACAGTCAGCTATTATTTGTTAACGTATACATTCTTATTTCACTAGTTTCATAATTTTTGAGGCAAAATTTCAATCAATATTTTTTATAATTCTAAAAGGAATTATTCCTAACTACATAGAAATTTATCTTTTTATAAATCAGGGTAACAAATCCTAGCTATTTAGACCAGTATTAAAATGATATACAATTGACAGTCAGCTGTTATTTAAAAATTATAAATTTTTAGCTGCTGTCATATTTTTGTTAGGCATTTATTTTCTATATTTAACGTATTTTAAGCGTAAAGCGTTGTAATTTTAGTGCTTTTAGGAGAAGTGATGTATTTTATGGGCAAAAGCAGGGTTGTATTTGAAATTATCTCGATTTAGGATATCAAATAAAGATATTGAGTGAATTTGATGTTGTATTATAAATCGTGATAAATCCAGTTCGATTTAGCAATTAAATCGACTAAACAAGCCTTTATTAATTTTAGATGCTAAATAGTAACAGATATGAGGATACATAATATGACATTTAAATATAATAAACATATGATTGATATTAGACCATTTAGAGTGTTTACACATAGTTACATTTAAAATATACAATTAAGATGTCGATTTAAGACCAGAACAGAAGGAAAGCTATTGCACTTAAATTTAAAGTGCGTTTAGATTTATTTAGAAATCCACTCGATCTCAAATGTCAATTCCATTTCGCATACGTCAAATATAATCTGCGAGAGAGATGTATATTTTCGTACCAAAACCGAGTTACATCTCAATAGTATCATATTTTAAAATATATTCTGCCACAAAATGATTTAAAATTGTATGGTAAATCATGGTAAATTTAGTCAGATAAAAAAATAAACCCTGATTCGCATTTTAATCATGATCAAATTTTATATGTAAACCCGGTTTAAAGTGATGTATACGCTATGTAAAAGCGGATTTATATATAACATTTGATCATGATTAAAGGACGAATCACCGTTTGTTTTCTTAATCAAACTACATTTATCATGGTTTAACATACAATTTTAAATCATTTTGTGGCAGAGTTTACTTAAAATCATAATCGAAATCATGATACTAATGAGATGCAAAACAGTTTTTATACGAAAAAATACAACCCTCTCACAATGTACCAAAATTTGCAACTGTTTACATGTTATTTGTTTTTATATTTCTAATTATTTATAGAATTTTTGTTTTTAGGTGATTTTTTACTTTTCAAACGATCACAGCATTGCAAAAACATTTCTATTGTTGTAACTTTTTTCATTTTTAAATTGCAACTAATATTTTTTACACAAATAAGTTATTTTCTATGTATACTAAAAAACATCAGCTGATCAACATTTAGATCATGATTAATGATATGTGTAAACAATTAGGTGGTATTTCTGGATTTCGTTAATCGAGTCGATCTAAAATCGTATATGTAAATTTACTTTAATTGACGTTTGAGATCGAGTGGATGTAGTAGTATAAAGGCGCTTTAAATATTCGAAACATGCTTATAGTGCATAGCCCCCATTTACATCGAACGTGTTTTATGATAAATCATAATTTAATTGTCATTTATGTTGTCATTTCCTTTGCATATATGCCAAATAAATGAAAATTTTTGTAAAACATGTTGCGTGTAAATGCATCTTTAAATAAAGGTTTCTATTTTATTTGTTTTAGTGACAAAGCATAATTCTGTAATATTTTGATTTTTATTGGTAGTATTTTCATAATAATAATTTAAATGTTAGAATGTTTTCTTTAAAGCATACATTGTCGAAAAAAAATTTGTCTTTGATGTCAAATTTCATTTAATTACTACATTCGTGTAATAATAATCTCAAATTTTATTAACAAACAATCCCAAATTATGCTTTCAAAACATCCCACATATAATGTAATAACAATAATTTCTTCTTAACAACTCACCTTGTTATAAAAGTCATAATCATTAATAAATAGCCCAATGAAAATATGAACCAGACAATAACGAATATTTCATAAACCACAAACCAACCGCCAAATTCTCGAGGCTAAAATAAAGAAATCACTCTCGTAATTAAAACTGTAGCTGAAATATAAATAAAAACATCTCATCTTACCTGTTGTGGCTGGAATGTTGGTACATAATCACCAAAACCAATTGTTGTGGTCGTGACATAGGAATAATAAAAGGCCAACGAAAATGGCCAATCTTCAAAATAGGAAAATACCCAAGACGGTATTAAGAGGAATAATGTTATACCCGGCACTAATGCTATTAACACGGTGGTAATCAAACCCAATTGCGGTGGTACATAGTGTACATCACGGGACATTTTGTATTTTTTATAACGTCGATATATTGCTTGGAACTGCAAGAGAAAACATAAATTTAGTTTCATTTTATTATCGTTTTTAATTTTAACAAATCATTACCGTCTTTCCAAAATATTCGCCCAATCCAGCAAATAATATACCATTGATTGGTATACCAATCACCGAATACACAATCATTATCATTCGGCCCAATGTTGTGGTCGGTGATATATTACCATAACCGACCGTTGAGCACACAGTAAACGCGAAAAAGAACGAGTGATAAAATGTCCAGGTATAGGGTACTTCATACTCATCATTTCGATAATCTGTTACGGGCTTACCGCAATAATCGCTAATACGTTCCAATACTTCATTTTGGGTGGTGACATTTTTATCGTCCAGGTTTTCTAGGATATATTCTGAAAAAAATGTAACATAATAAGGTGATTAGTGGTGTTAAATTTAGATGTTTATAGCACATTTATTTTAGTTAAATAAGTAAGTAATAAATAAGGTAAATCGACATTTACATTAGAACTTTTTGTCGTGTTAACCTGCTTTATGAGGATATATTTGGTATATATGTAATGAAATTGACAATTTACATATATACCAGTACAAGGTAAATCCAGTACAATGTAAATGTACTATAACAAACCGTACCCATATACCCATGATGCAATAATAAGGTGATGTATCAAAACAAAAACATTTGTTTTTGTCTGGATCATCTGTCAAAATTTTCCATATAATATTTCACATAGTTGGAAACTTTGCACATCGAATTCAAGTAGACATCACGCACTTTGACAGTTAATCGAGACATCAGCTGCGCTTAATGGACTACCTATTTATTTTGCCATGCATATACCTTTGAAGGATATAAATTCAATTGGTAGTTACTTTAATAGATTTTGTTTAGTATGCCAGTCAGCTGATGTTTGTTTGCATGTACACACAAATGATTGTTTTCTATACTATTTTAATAGTAAGAGCCCGTTTAGACTATTAAAATTGAATTTAATCAGGATTAAAAGCTGAATCAGGGTTTATTTTCTTAATGAGGCTGAATTTACCACGATTTATCATACAAATTTTAAATCATGATACTAATGAGATGCAACGCGGTTTTTGTAGGAAAAAATACTGCTCTCTCTTTGTGCCAACATTTGCAACTGTTTATGGTTAATAGGAGAATAAAAGAACTCGTTTCAGGATTCACTCCTGTAGATGAGCGAATTGCTATAATCCATATAAAAGCCAAGTTCTTCAACATCAGTCTTATTTGCGCCCATGCTCTGACCGAAGGCAAAGATGAGCAGACCAAAGACATATTTTACGAGCGCCTAGAAACTGCATATGACTGCTTCCCTGACAATGACATTAAAATTCTGCTAGGAGATTTTAATGCAAAAATGTCACACCATTGGAAAATTCAGCCTCCATGAAAAAACATCCGACAACAGCATGAGGTTGATTGACTTCGCGGCAGCAAAAACATGGTAGTTTGCAGCACCAGATTCAAGCATCTCAATATACACAAGGCCACCTGGATTTCTCTCGATTGAACAAGGAAAAATCAAATTGATCATGTTGTGATAGGCGGAAGGCATTCATCCGTTATTTTAGATGTCGACCCGAAGAGCGATTTTCTATTGGGACCACTAGCTTGTAGCAGCTAATGTTCGCACTTGTCTTAATGTTGCAGCAAAGGTGCGATCTAACACAACACGGAAACTCGACGTCGAAAAGCTGCAAACACAACATATAGCCTAGGCCTACTCCACTCAACTTACCCACCTGCTTGACGAAAGCACTTTTTGTCCCGATAATAGTATAGTAATAGAAGCACAATGGCAAACAATTGCCCACTCCCTACAAACTGCCGCAAAGGCAACACTTGGGTATCAAAAACCACCACCAAGAAACCCATGGTACGATCCGGAGTGTTGTAATGCTACTGAGGTGAAAAACGCTGTATATATAGGGCAACTCTGCAAAGAGTAGCAAATCGAGATGTACATGTGTCAGAATAAAGTCTGAAAATGTTACCAACGAGTAAAACACCAAACCGAAGGCTTTGGTGCACCTAGCCAAGATGAGGTCGAAATAGCAATCAATCGTCTGAAGAATAATAAAGTAGAAGGTACCGATGTATTAGCAGCCAAACTATTCAAGACCGGTGGTCAGATGATGGTCAGGAGCATGCACCAGCTGATTAGTACAATTTTGCAATAAAGCATCATGTGCCGATGGGCTACCAGCCGAACTATAGGAGCATGTACCAGCTGTTTAGTTTACAGGAATGCATGCCCAATAATTGGAACCTCAGCATTCTGTGTCCCGTGCACAAAAAAAGGATACAAGAGGACTTCAGGATTGTCATGTTAAATTGGCTTCTTTTATTGTAAAAGAATAAAGGTGAACGACGTTCAAATTAATGTTTGACTCTGATATTCCTTTATAAATAGACATTTCATACAAAGCTAACTTAACATACCAGGCCATTTAGTCTCCTTCCCATCGTATTTAAAGTGCTATCCAGCGCGCTGTGTGAACGAATGAAGGCAATGGTCAATGATATTATTATGGATAATACCTGCAAATCCACGATAGATCAGATTTTCACTCTGCGCCGTATTCTGAATAATAACCACAAAAACACATCGACACATTCCATCTATTTGACGACTATAAAAACGCATTCGACAGCTCTATTCGCTCAAAAGTGTTTAAAGCCACATCTACGTTCGGCATTCCTGCAGTATAACTTTAACGGGCACAAGGTCAGCAGTTAAAGTCGGAAAGGACCTCTCGTAGCCCTTTAATACCGAACGAGGACCAACTGTTGAACTTGAAAACTACAGCTTCGAGATATTCAAAGATTTTATATACCTCTGTTCCGCCATAAAAAATACTAATGACTCTTAAATTTGGTTCAATGTTTTACCAGTTTTGTGGGTTCAGGCACAGTTTTCGAGTAAACAGTTGCAAAACTAGTAAAATTAGTAGAATATTTTAGGTTCTGGAACGGAACTATTTTTTACATATGCAACTCGAACTCGTCGTGTGAAACATACAGAAATTTCAATGTGCCAAAACGATATGTAATTGCATATGTACTTTTTCCGAATAGGACGCGCTCTATTTTCGTATGTGAAACATAAAGAAATCAGCTGTTTGTTTTGTATATATGTTTATGTCATATGAAAACCACCATTAGTCCGCCAAATTGAGTAATTTGAGTAAAAGGATCACAAAGAGGACGCCATTTTGTTTTGTGTTCTCTTACAATTGCGCTTAGATTTACGAAATCCACTCGATCTCAAATGTCAATTCCATTGCGTATATGTCAAATATTATCCACTGGATTTGTAAAGAGGTAGTATAAATGCGTTCTAAATTCAGTTGCAAATTTTAGTAGTTTTGTGACTTCAGGAACGTGTAAAAATTTGCAAAGTTAGTAGATTCTAGCAGGTTCTGGAACGAAACCATTGTCTTCTGAAAAAATATCATGTGTAAACTCCAGATTATAACATGGTGCAATTATAAAAGCTAACAGCAAATCCCAGCTGATTTGATTCCAACGTAATACTAGTGTCAATATGAATTTGACAAATTATGTTTTTAAAAATCACCCAAAAGGAAAATTGGGAACGCATACAATTTGAAATTGATCTTTATTAAATGTGCTCTTGTATTCAATTTACTCAATCTGCCTGCTGGGAAAGTTTGAGGAAGCAAATCTTTCTTGAAGGAATAACTCGCTATTCCCAGCATTTTCATATGTGTTACACATATATATGGCAATGGCTTAATTATAGGAAAGATGTGGAAGCGATAGAAATATAAATTTGATACATTTTCATTCATGTTTTTCAATTTCTATTTTGAGGAATCGAAAATATTTCATTTTCAAAATAAAAATAATTTGATGATAATTTGTTTGTTTGTTTACATTTTTCTGTCAAATGAGTTGACACTAGTAGAACTTACAACAACAAATTTCCATGTGGTTGTTGTATCGTTTTTTGTACAACAACACTTGTGATTATAATTATTTTTCTCAACTCATATTAATACAATTCCGTAACCGTTACAATTTCCAATGTATTTTTTTAGTCGTAATAATTAATTAATAAAGCGTTTGCCGCCACGCCACTAATTAACGCTAGTTAATGAATTAAAAACTCACACATAATTTTAAACACATTCCACATTTTCAAAACTAAATTTAAACTCAAAAAATCATGACTAAAACATCTATTTTTTCTGCTTCTTTGAATAGCGATTCTAAATCTCTAGAACATATTTCTTGTTTGTCACTTTGATGTGAACGGCAATTTCATAGACAATGAATGCCATAACGTATATTTTATCCAACTGCTCAAACAATTTTTCATAATTTAAAATAAATTTAATAAAAACCATTACCAACGTCAACGTCATTTATAGGTATGCTCCGCATTTCATTCATGCATTTTTATCTGTACGTGTACGACGTATTCTATTTATACGTTATGGTTGGGGTATGTATGAGTATCAACATGCTGTAAGCGTGTTTCACACTTCTTGATGTGCAAACCTCAGTCGGTGAGCAGCTATCTCAAGCATGAAAATGTTGTAAACATTTAAATTAATTTGATAAAGTAGTGAACGATGACTGATGAATGAGACGACACTACTATCACACAACGATAATAGGTTTGACAATATTGCTGTTTAAGCTAATGGTAGACGACGTGACGTATGATGATAGATAAAATACCCAGCTAACTTTTAAGTAATCCGGAAATCAAATAAATGAGAACACCTAGTATGTGGCTTGTAGGGCACAAACAATTGTTTATTGTTGTGGAGAGAAATAAAAATAAACAAACACATGACCTAGGCTTTCTTGAGTTTGACATTTGTATTAAATGAACTAAATGAATTACATATGTCAAATTTTCCTATAAATTATTTCCAGTACTATGTAAACGTACTATTAGTTATTTAATTATAAGACCCATAATGCAATAATAAGGTGATGTATCAAAACAAAAACCATTGTTTTTGTCTCGACCATCTGTCAAAATTTTCCTTATAATATTTCATGTGGTTGGCAACACTATACATCGAATTCAAGAAGAAATTGCGCACATTGACAGTTAATCGAGTCATCAGCTGCGCTAAATGGACTACCTATTTATTGTGCCACAATCAGACCTTTCCCAAACAAGTTACACATTGTTACCTAAAATCTAACCCCTTTAATTGACCTCTGTAAATTGTTAAGCTCATCTAAACTCTGTGTGATTAATTGATTGATTCATTCAATTACATGGAAATGATTTTTGTTTAATCATTTCGCGCTTTGCCTGTCTGTTCGATAAAAAATGCGGCTGATAAGAATCCATTGTGTTTTTTTGGTTAATTG